ATAAATAAATAAATATCACCAGGCCTCTATTAGTATCGGTTGATATTGGGGTTGTTCGGATAATATCGGCAGTTTATCTCAGTGGTTCCCCAAGCGGGGGGGCGCGGGCCCTCCTCGAGGCTGTGGAGCTGTCGAGTAGGGACACGGCTCGGGAAATTCTTTTCCAATTTCTCAACAAAACGTAAAGATCGCACAAATCAACACAACTCCGCGACCGACCTTCCACTCGGGCTTCGTCCGGTGTGATGGTGGCGCATTTGACCGCCACGCTGTACTTCTTGGTGGCCAGGGCGGAGTCGATGGTGACCTGGTCATCGGTCTGGTCACGGTACGGCAGACCCAGGTCATAGTACTTGAGCTCCACGTCCACGTTGGAAAGGATGAGCTGAAGACAAAACGTAATTCAAGTATTTGAATCTTTGATCGCACTGAGTCGCAGCAGTCGACATGACAACGACTCAATCAGCAAGTAAAAGAAGTTCACAGTGTGTGTGTGTGTGTGTGTGTGTGTGTGGTGTCACCTTCTCTTTGATGAACTCCCAGATGATCCTCGTCATCTCGTCTCCATCCATCTCCACCACTGGCTGGGCCACTTTGATGCGTTTGTCGGCATCTGTCCAATCAGACGATCAGGAGAGTTTGAGTCTCAGATAAGAACAGCTGATTGGTTTTGTGTGTTAATTAGTGGGATGTGATTAAAGCCAAGCCACCGCCGCTCCCCAAACAAACCAGGATTAGCTGCTCTACAACAAGGAACCTTGGATTAGCGTTAGCATTAGCGCCAATGACTTCTGAAATCTGAAACGCATCAGCGGAGTGGTTGGTTTCTGCAGTGATCAGTTAAAGCCGGGCTCTGGCTCAGTGTGTGTGCTGCCGGCAGGATCTTCTCAGTGAATAGAAAAGAACTCGGGGCGGGTCAGAGGATCAAGTGACGCTCAGATTTCCCAGCCAAGTCACTGCTCTCCCACAGCAACACGTCTGAACCAAGATGATGTTTTTTTTTTTTTTGTGTGTGTGAATTTAACGATTAAATAAGAACGAACTCCAGGCCTGAGCGGCACCTGTTTCAACAAGCGCCGCAGCAAACACGAGCGCTGCAGCAGACTGCAGATGGAAACTGAAAATAGCTCACAGACCGGCGATGACCTTTGTAACAATTATGTTACGCAATAGCATCGGAGGAGGGGCAAGAACCCCATGGGTGAACAATCTGAATAGAGTTCTCACATACAATGGCAATCATTTCAACTGATTATCTCCACCACAGGTGTGAGCAGGTCTGAGGTTCCTCACCAAGGAAGAGGAAAATCACTGAATCATCAGCATACACACACACAAACACACACGTTTGGACAGTAAATATACTGTATGTTAATGTTGACACTGCAGGATTGACGGCTCAAAACTGATTTTTTTGTCACTAAAGTAAATATGAATGTTTCACAGTGAAGTGAAGATTAATCTGAAGGTTGTTGCGCAATTCATATCAGTGGAACAGAACCTTTTTTTAAATACTTCGTGTAGCTACATTTGTTGGTTTTTTTTCTTATAAATATTCTTGCTTTACTTTCGTTTCAATTCAAGAACTTCCGTGGAGCCGTGTCTAACTATGAAAGTAGAAACTAGTACTTTTTTTCCCCCCCTCTATGAAATCTTAATAATATGCTGAACCATGCAATGAGTTAACAATAGGAAACATTGAAATATTCAAACTATGTTTCACAGTACACAGAGACATTGCTTCAGACATTAGCTTATATAGGAAGAAGATATAAAACTAAAAAAAAAAAAAAAAAAAAACAAAGAAAAACTGTTCACCAAGTCCAACGTTTTTCTACCAAATATTCAAAATTGTCACCTCATCTAGGGGGCACTGTAAGCAGTGTGTGTGTGTAATATTTTACTATTCACTTGATGGTTTGGTGAACTCCTTTGGTATTTGGTCTCTGACCCAGTGCATGATGGTCCTGAAGATCTCTTCTGGCTCATCACATCGAAGATTCTACTGAAATAGAATTCCTCTATGGCAGCGGAGGGAGGGGGGGGGTCAGTGGGGGAGGGGCAGACTGTGCAGCAGAGGGATTATGTAATTCAACTGACACAGAGCTGAAGGGTGATCTGAAATAAAGCTGTGGTCTGTGTCCCACACACACTCGCACACACACACACATTCACACAGGAAGACTCTGCATGAAACCATATCCCAGATTCCAAAGTTAAGTCCAGACAAAGTCAGGAAAAAAAAAAAGCTTCATCCTCCTCCTCCTCAGAAGAAGAAGAATCGAAAGATAAACTTCTTCAAACTTAAAATAAACACACCAACTGGACAGCAGTTTATTCAACTGCAGCTGCAAAAACAAAAGTTTGGACCAATGAAAATATTTAGAAAAGAACGACGCAAACAAGGGTTAGAATCCGTTAGAGCTAAATGCTATTGCTAACCGAACCTCGGATTCGCTCAACGCTACCTGCTCCACGCTCTTCGTCGAGGGCAAATGGCAACGGCGACAACAACACAACAAAATGCGCTTGACCTCAACCTTCATCTCTCACATCTCAGTTTCAATTTCATTCATCAGACCAAGACGATGACGCAGACTCAACCAATTATAGACAACCAAACGACCAATGAGAGCCTTCGGTGTTTCCATGCGGTGGTTGTAAACTAACGACGGCTTCTTACGCCGCAGACAGGAAACAAAAACAGGTGCGAAATTTAAAGGCAATGGAAATATAGCAAAAAACAACATCAGACTGCAACATCAGCAACTTGGTCTTGGACCGACATGAAACTGTTTCTCAGGGTTTTTACAGCAGGGCACGTTTAGTGGATCGGCAGGATTCAGACCGCAGACTGGTGTTTACTGCAAACCTCCGCAGGAATCTGACTTTAACAGGGTTTTCCTCCGCAGGAATCTGACTTTAACAGGGGGTTTTACACGGGTTAGTGAGAACCACACAAGATGTAAGATGAAGAATCTTCTTGTGGTGCCATTTAAAAAAAAAAAAAAAAAAAAAAAACACTCAGAGATCGATGGATGACTACTTCAAGCCATGCAAGTGAATCATCATTTCTGCTTGTTTTTTCTAGTCTGTTGCTGCAGTGGGCAGATGTCAGGAGGAAAGGACAACATTCCTCGTCTTAATGCAACAGTAAACATTGCTCTAAAAGGGGTGGTTCAAGCAGCCAGAGCTGCCTTTGTTTGCCTGCGTCCCTCTGAATGACCCTGACCAAGGTTTGGCACACCATGATTGAATTCTTCTCTACTCAACTGCGGTGACAAAATACCCGACACATCGTCATGAAATTCTTAGCGCAACATCTACAGCTGTGACGCTACGGCAGTACTGTCACGACTGTAGATGGTGCCCTCTGGTGGTCATACGTGATCTGATGTACAATTTTGATATATATGTCGCTCTGGCACACGAGAAGCAGAAGGAACAGCACGACAATAAAGAAGTTTTTTGAAGTACGATGTACTCTGTTTTACTTCAGTTTCAGTTTGGTAGAAACCAGCATTTATGCCTTTAAAAGTCTGTTTACTGCATATTTTGTTGACATGTGGGGAGAGTGACTATCACTCTGTACCTGGAGTGACTTCTTTACTGGTACTATGGCAGCTCAACACGGCTGATGTCAACAGAGTCCGACAGTTAACATTTACCAGGAGGTCGATTAAGGACAGAATCACTAAGGAGTTTATTTTTAGAATATCAAAAATGCCATCGTTGGTGCCTGACTTGCATTATATTACAAACTGGGTCAAATGGTTATAAATATATTTTTAAATACTGGATCTCCATTAATTAAGTGTAATTACACTGTACTACAGACAGTCTGTGCCACACTGACTTTATCAGCCATGATGCCCTTCATCTGACCGGCCGCTGTATCAAATAACTGTTTGTGCAGGTCGGGCCTGCAGTGAGTATGTTGTTAAACTTGAAGCAAAAAAAAAAGCTCCCAGATATTTTTTTTTCTTTAAAAGTCTGCATAGGCCACGTGATCAAAGTGTGGATCCCTGCTGCCCCAGATATAGAAGGGAGAGAGAGAGAGAGAGAGAGACATCCATGAAAGTCACTGCAGCTCAGAAAACACCTACAGATTCGACACGAAAAAAGGAATAAATAAAAAAAGGAGACCCGCTGTTTGTAAACACAGTGAGACAGATTGTGATTAAACCCCGTGAGGTGGCAGACGGGATGGAACCCAGATGGAAAATATTATGTAGGACAGTCAGGCGGCAGCCATTGCTCTGTATATCGGAGTCTCGTATGCGGTGAATTGACCTTGGTTAAAAAAAAAAAAAAGAAAAGTTTTTTAATCACGTTCGTGACACTGCTGATCGACACTTGTTATCGGTTCATCTAATCATTCCACATTTGACAGTTTCGGTGCACAAACTCCCAGCAACGGTTTTTATTTTTTTTAAACAATAAAACGGTTGGATTTAAATTACTTAATATTTTCTTAAATGTGTTCGTGTTTTCCTAACGGTGTTCAGCGGGACGGTTAATTTAATTTAACCGGAGTAACGTCAGTTTCCCCTGCTGTAACGAAACAGCGGAACTTTCATTCATTTCTACGGCACCGTTAACTTTGAATGGCCAGGACAAAGGGAACTCTTCCTTCTCTGTTCAAGTCGCTTCTGGTTTAGCCGTTTTCAGCTTCATAGTTATCATTTGCATATTAAATAACCTACTGTCTACCAAACTGGAGCCGTTACCATATCGAATAGTTCTAGAACAATAACGAAGAAAGCCTCGTTTGAACTGCAGCCGATATAAGCTATTAAGAGCATCCCAGCATGTTAGCATTAGCCGCGTTAGCTCTGCGGCGTTGCAGGTTAGTAGCGGCATTTTAAATATACATTCTTTTTTTCCCCATGTTTTAAATTTGACTGAAAAATATTTTTATTACAACGCAACGTTGGAAAATATCCAACGTTTTAACTGTTAATTATTACGACGTTGTAGCTGCGGCAGATACCGGTGCCTCAAGTATTATATTCCATTCACTCACAGTGTCTTTGTTGTACAGCCTGGCACTGAGCAGCAGCCGGCGCCAGAACCCCGGGAGTGCGGGAAAACGCAGCAGCAGATCTCGACAAAGAGCTGATGACTTTCAGATATCCAGCCATATCTCCGCGGCCCGAGTAACACAGAAGTTCAGCAACACACAACGAAACTCCGGAGCGAAGAGAGGGCACAGCTGTTACAGGCGGCGCGCAATATAGCTGAGTTTAGTCCGCCAAGCGCCGCCCTTCTGGTCCCGCCCCGAGGGGACACGCTGGGTTTACGTCACAGGCGTTCGTCGGGGTCGTTTTACAGCCAAGAGACAGCTGAGCGGTGAACACTGGTGAGATGGATTTTAATGTGAGGATCAGAACGAGAATATCGCGCTGCTACTGAGGCCTTAAACCACCGAAAGAAGAGTAGAGCTATATGCTAACTTTAATGCCTTAACTTTATGAGTTTTGCGGTAAATTCTAATAGAATTTTTGACTCAAGATGTTTAACATTAAGGTCAAAATTTCCTCTTTTTCTCAAGATGACGTAGAATTCTCCTTTTTATATACTACAATTTAGACTTGTTTTATAAGGATAACTCAGGATAAAATTCGATTTAAATGAAAATTCAAAGCAGCTCTCAGAGTTTTTTTTTTGTTTTTGTTTTGTTTTTTGTTACGTCTGTGTATTACCCCCATGTCTGCCTGTGTTTGCCCTCTGTTCTGAAGCAGCCCAGCAGAGGTGACTGGAGTCTCCTTGTTGGCTCACCAGCACCTCTGTCATGTGACTGTGCTACAACTTCCCCTGCCTTTCTCCCAGTATGGTAATTTCCCCCTTGCTAAAATTAGAGGGCCCTCTGCTGAGGCATCTGGGAACATAACATCCAGTACTGAGGGAGTGAGTGGACACTTTCTCCATGAGATCCATGAGGATTGGAGGAGAGGCAAAAACAAAATATTTTCAGCTAACCTTTAGAAATCTTAAAATTAAACTTGAAGGTTTTGTACATAATTTACTCTTCGTGGCTCAGTCACGCTGCTCTCTCATGTTCTGTCTGTTGCCTGGCTCTTGTGCCCTGATCCTTATCTTTACCCCCCGTCTGAGTTCAACCAGATCTGTGTCCGACACACGATCCCACCTCTAGGTTTCCACTGTCTCACTAAAACCTTGCTCTCATCCTCGTCCTCAGTTTCACAATGATCCTAAATTAGGCGTACGTAAACCTGAGCTTGAGACATTGCTAAAAGTTAGCGAAAATATAATTCAGTGTTAGCCATGAAATAGCTTAAACTTATTTGGAACCAAAGGTTATTTCCCCCTTCATTGATCAATGTAGTATTTATGATTTAGATTTCTGGGTTTTTAAACTTTAGATGATGATAACAGCTAATCGCTAGCCAAATAGTATTGACGGTTATATCACATTATTATCACATATCAAACTCCTCAAAGTGAGATTAAATATTATCCTAAAACTTCTCACAGTTCACCATGAAATATCAGAAAAGTATTAAGAACTGTAACACAAGACTGGTAACAATAACAAAACAAAACAAAATAAATTTGCAGATTTAGAAATGACTCTGTATTTGACCCAGAATGCCCCAGCACTGGGTAGAAAAAAAAAAGTGCTGCGTCAGTGAAAGTGAATTTCCTGTTTGTATTTTAGTGCAGTGACGTGCTGTAATAAAATACACAGGCATGCAGTCAGACTGGGAACAATATGACACTTATCTTGACCCTACCCTGACTGACTTTTGGACCCCAGGTTTGTAAACATGTCTGTGTACTGGCCACCATCCCCGACACTTACCCCTTTTTACCCACAGGTGTCACCCTGGTCACCCTCCTGGACTATATTTAGAGCAGTCACACACTGAGTTAACCAGGTCACGCTGTGAACTCCTGTCACTGAAGGGAAGAACCTACTGTTTCCACCAGGTCTTCAGAGTGTGTAGGTGCGTGAGGTGATCATTACTGCCACCTGCTGGGGCCTCCTTTCTTTTGTCTACTCAGTGTGGGATATAATTTGATAGTAATATAGATAATAGTTCCTTTATTTGTATTTTTAGACACGATTGGCGCGGAGCAGCCCCCTCTGGTGGCATTTCACCATTAGGTCCACCAACCGTGTTTTTGTGACTTTACCGCCCTCTGGTGGAGGATGGTTGTTTATTGCTGCGATTCAAGACTTCAAGAGTTTATACGTCACAGAACAGCAGTGACTACTAGAATAAAAATAATAATTAAAAAAAACTAAATAATAATAATAATATATATATTTTTAACAATTAAGGTCCAGGACACTTAAACTTTTACAACAGATTTTTTTTACACGTATGACTCCAGGCAAACAAGCATTTCTGAATGACTACAGCGCCCTCTCTCGACTCTTTGTTCTTGCTCTGACATAATCACGCTGACACTGATTCGTCTGATAAATAAATAGAAATACAAATACAGTACAAATAGTAGAAAACCTCCTGGAGGAGAAGAGCTGCTGCTCCTGTTAATGAGGATTTGTACACGACAGCATTTAAATAACTTCATAATATTTTAACCCCAGGTAAAAAATAAAGTGTAAAAATGTATTTGAAAAAATAAAAACTATATTTTTGTAGCATACAGCAGAATAACAGTGTGTGTGTGTGAGGGATTAAGACAAAACACAATATATTCACAAGTTATATTAGACATTTATTTAGAATATACAACAAACTAATAGCAAAAATACTATATATATATATATATTTTTTATTTTTTCATATTTTTATTTTAACGTCCTAAACAGAAGCGAGGCTTCACAGGTAAGTGACATGGAAGCGGTGTGATCTTTAGTTCTGATTGCCTTGAGCGTGAAATGACATTGTAAGTGTTAGACCAATGTCTGGGTCGGGCTGAGGGGTCAACGTCACTCGGTTTGTTCTTGAATCCATCCCAGAATATGATGTGCTTTGATTTTTTTTTTTTGAGGGGAGAGGGGGGGTAAATAACACTGTTAATAGCAACTGTTTTTTTTTTTTGTTTTGTTGTTTTAGCCATAAAGTGCTGTTACACGTAGCCCATTGGTTCACCTGTTTTCTTAAGGCATATAGTTCTTCCACTCACATCACATTTACTCATCATTTTTGTTTCCACCAGAAAAACCGACAACATCGACAAACAAAGAAGGAAATGAAGTAAAAACACATTTTGGTTACGTCGTCACTAGATCGAGGCGATCTCGGTACATTGAATGTAACTGCCTGCCGTTTTTTTTTTTTTTTTTTTAATCCTGTGTCTTGAAGGCACTTTGTACACGTCTGCTACAAACAGTCAAATTTCATGTTACTCAAAGCTACATCTGGGACGAGTGCATCACACCTGCTGTCAATACAAGTCCATTAATAGTGTTAATTACATATGGACAAAGTGCACCCAAGTGGCCCGCTGGCTACAAAGAGACCCTGTGTTTCCTACACACATGACGTCATCATGTAAGAGAGCTGTAGTTCAGAGGTGTCGTGGCGTTTACATTCAAAACTGTAACACGGAAACAGCTGAGTTTATAAAGACAGTTATCGTAGTAATACTATTCCCTAAGGTTTGGTGTTCACACGGGGAGGAACTCTACCTATATTGCTCAGTTTATATACACACATACACACACACACACACGGAATTTAGATTCTATTTCATCTAAATCAGTGTTTCTGAAATGATTCATTCTATTGGTCATAAAAATTAAAATCAAATAAAAAAGTATTAAATGTAATAATAACATTTTTCAAGACCAAAATTTTTATTGCCTACCAGTTAGTGGCTACCGATTAACATTTTTCAAGACCAAAATTTTTATTATTATATTATATCAGTTAGTGGCTACCGATATTGTTTGGGACTAGAAAGCAATTCAGTTGTGCTAGCTAGATGAAGCTAGCTAGCTAGGCTAAGAAAATTTCATATAATGCAAAATAGAGAATCAAGGAATATATTTAGCCTACATTAAGTAGGACAGAGCGAACTTCCTTCTCTGTATGGGTTGGACAATATTATCGGTCCGATATTAGCATATAATGTAATAGTTGTAAGAATCTTTATCGGTTTTTTTTTCTCCGATTATGAAAACCCGATAACGCAATGCGACCTAAAAATAGTTTTGGGGATAAACAGCTGTATATTAAAGTGAAAGTCACTAGATGGCGGCATTGCAGCTCATTTAATTAGTGTCATACTCACGACTAGTGGTTTGTACAGATAAATAAATAAATAAATAAATAAATATTACCAGGCCTGTATCGGTATTGGTTGATATCGGAATTGGATATTAAGTGTCTGGAAAATATAGGCATATTGAATATCAACCTGGGCAACAAAACACTTCTATATCTAAATCCAACGTAATCCTTTTTTGTGTCACGACCCACCATTTAAGAAACACTGATCTAAATGATATTATCTACTCGACGTCTAGATGGCCGTGAGCGCTCTGGACCTACGGTCAAACTTCCTGACAGATTAACGCCGCCATCTTTTTCTACTCGTACACAAACGACGTGCTGCATAATCACTAACTCCCTCTAATGAGCCAGCTCCTCAAAGTCCGACAGCTGCTTCATCTGCTCCACTTGCATAGAGTGCCTCCTCACCAGCTTCTTCTTGGACTTGAGACAGCCTCTCTTTGGTGTGTTCGGTGCTACCGGGGCGAGGGTTCTGATGCCCGTGGCCAGGGGTGAGGAGGGTTTGCAGCTGGACCCGATGTCAGGGATCGGCGGGGTGGGGTTGATGTTGAGAGGAGGCAGGTGGCCAGGCCTGGTGTGCGAGATGTGGTCCAGCAGCAGGGTTCCCGAACCTCTCCTCTCCAAGAGGCCCGGGACACGCCTGCGTGCTGAGCTGGGAGAGGACGTGCTGGCGTTGCTGTCCAGAGATTCTCTGGAGCTGGTGAGCATTGCCAGAGGGGAGGTGTTGAGCTTTCGTCTCTCCACTGGGACCTTGGGAGAGTCCATCATGGCAGAGTCAGAGTAGAGCTGCGAGTCGGAGTCGTAATGATCGTTCCCCAGGCGTCTCCTTTGCATCGTGTCCCTCAGACTGGCCACTCCACCGCAGCTGCCGGCGCCGTTCTCCCTGCCTGTTGGGAAAGTGCT